GGGCCTTGGTGTTATCAGCACCGCACTCTCCCGAGTGAGCCACGGGCCGGCCCCAAGACTGTCAACTTTAAAAACTCAAGAAATTATTTGAAAGACCACATTAGGATGTTTTAAGAGTATGGCCAAATAGTTTGAATTTTGAGTTTTTTGGTGGAAAAAAATCCCATTCACAATAATAGTAAATACCAGAAAATAACTAAAAGAACCTTTACATGAGCAAAAAGCTTCTCCCCTTAGAATATTATACAGTTCTCGTTTTAGCTATTCCTAAGTATTTTGGAGGCCGCCCTCCTGAGCATCTGAGGCCTCAGGTCACCATGGCAGCACTTCCCTTCGGTACCTGCCCAACTCTCTCTCAGGCCACAGGGCTCTGTCCCCATGGAAACGACCTCTGCTGCTCAGGTCAAGTGACTGCTTCTCATTTCCTCACACAGTCTCTGCATCTCCTTCCTGTCACTTATTGCTTTCTGTCGTGCGTTATACTGTCCTACCCTGTTGGGCATTTGTGTCATTTGGAAAGCTTTAAACAAGCACACTGGTATTTAGGATCTGTCGCCCCAAGGACTCTCAGCTGGTAGATCCAGGTGTGGCCTAGGACACTGTATTTTTACAAAGCTCCCTAGTGATTCTGATATCCAGCCATCTTTGAGTATTGGTGGCTTACGTGACTTTGATCAATACCAACCCGAATGCTTACTGGAATAACTGTATTGAATAAAGAAAAGTTTATTTGACATTGTATAATACAAGTTTAAATTCTCTTATACTACTTTCACAAATTAGTGGGAAAAAATCAGCATATTCAGTATCTTTCTATCAAAGGAAATAAAAAGACCCAAATCTCCCAATTCAATTTTGAAAGTAAGAAATGCTTTCTTCTCCCTGGCACAAAATTGTGAGGGGAGGAAATCTTTTTTTCATGCAAAAGAAGTTTCAGACACTGTTAATGACTTTAGGGAATTTAAAATTTAACTGAAGAAAATAAGACATTTACATGAAATGCTAAAGACCACAAAGGTGGTATATGATTAATGGCAAAATGAGTGTTATCACCAACCTTGGTTTGAGCTTGGGTAAATAACTCTACCTGTCTCAATTTCCACAAACACGTAATTTAACTTCCTTTCCCTCTCCCTATAAGGCCTGTTCCCAAACCAAACCCCTCTCCAGCCACTGCTTCCCTGCTGCTCTTCAGAGAACAAGAAGCACAGGCTGTCCCAGCTCCCCACCCCACTGCCTTCTAGCATCTTCTCCGAGTATCTCTTTCCTAGAGTGCCATATTCTGTCCCATCCAGTCTCCTCTGGGATAGCCACCATCATTCATCTCCTCTTCTGCTCATATAAAGCTACTTCAAAAGGTTCATGGAGGGGCCGGCCCAGTGGCGCACTGCTACAGTGCGCCGCTTGGGAGTGCGGTGGCGCTCCCGCCAAGGGTTCGGATCCCACATACAGACCGGCCGCTCACTGGCTGAGCGAGGTGCGGGCGCAAC